TTCGTATCATGTAGACAACAGGTTAAGTAAAACACCACTCAAGTGGTGTTTTCAGCAGTTTGGTTCCCAAAAATGCAGCAAACTCAATGTCTGCATGTGTTGTGAATTTAACATTCTATTCAAGTTTATTTGTCTAGCGCTTTTCCAAACACCAATTGAGCTTCTAGCTTAAACACAGAACTCGCAGCACGACAGAATAAATATATATTTAATTAAATTGCAAAGCACAATGTTAGAGACCTTTTAGGCAAATATGAAAAGTAGGGCTGCCCCCATAATAATCGACTAACCTTTAGTCGACGAGAAGAGGCTTGGTCGACAAAAATTTTATTAGTCGCTTAGTCGCAGAAAAACAAAATCCACAGGAAGTGGTGAGGTCACGTAGTCCCTGACGGACAGATCGTTAATGGCTGGATTTTGTGGTAACGTTACTTCCAAACACTGGCCTATCATTCATCGACCTCAAACATGGCTTATCATCTGAAATATGTAAGTAGTAGCAACTTTACATGGCCACTCAATCTAATGTTAACCTAGAAAAATGTGCGCTATTGAAGTGTCTGTGCGGAGTGTGAAAGCTGAACAGTAGCGCACTCACAGCATGACAGATGGAGGCGCCGGTGCAGTCACTTGCTCCTAAAATACTCTGTAATTTTGGTCATACAGATAAGAGTACATCTTTCGAATCTGTAAACCCTCTGCATTTATTTGTGTGCACTCACTCACTATAACAACAAAACATTGTGCTTTTGTAAAATAATGAAAGCAAACAAGATGCGCTTTCTGCCGTCTCGGCCTCTGTGAACTTGAGTGCGAAACTCCGTTTATACTTGCCTTACAGACATGAAAAAAATAAAATAAATAAAAATGTTAATGCAGTTTAATCTTACTGTTTTTCCCTGACACATTCATCATCATTACTTCAGCCGGTGTGCTGTAGCAAGCTTTATGCGTGCGCTTGAACGCTTATTAAGCTATGTAGGCAATTAAAGGCTCATTAGCATGATTTAAAGACTGTGAGAAAAGGCTATAAACGATCCGCCACCAGCAGGATCCTCACATGTGATAGCCTAGTTAGCCAGGACAACTTCTTTATGTTTACAGACGTGACGTAATGACATGGCAGCATGCTCGAAGTTCCCGCAAATTTCTACCAGTACCACTCAAATTAGAAAACATTATTATAAGCTAACCGTTGTGAATCGGGCTAAAGTAAGGCGGTAGTTTTGAACACTGGCTGGTTATGTACTTGCTCAAATATTGATTTCGGATCATTTTTAACCCAAAAAAGTTACGGACTGCAGCTTTAAATATGCACAAAGTAATTTTCTAATTAGTAAATTTAGTTTTTTTCTGGCTGATACATAAATGTTCTTTTTTATATTATTGGTATGGATATAGCAACACATAAAAACAAGTGGTAACACTTTAGTATAGGGACCAATTCTCACTATTAATTAGTTGCTTATTAGCATGCCTATTATTAACATATTGCAGGGCTCCCAAAAAAAAAAAAAAAAAAAACTTAAGGAGCCTCTGGCTCCTATAAGAAACAAAATTAGGCACCAAATTATTTTTTTTAAGTGCCACAAAATAAACGCGTTTTATTTATTAATTTTTTTAAACACTTTAACATTTCAGTCGTACCGTTTTGTGTTTATGTCTCCCCTCCTTTTACAGCATCAGCATTTAAATCCCTCTTGTAGATGTCCGGGGAACTAAGGTTCACTTAAAGTAGGAACTAAACGTCTTTTCCAACTTGAGAACTATATACAGTCACAAAGAATTGTTTATTACACTTTGTGCCAATATCATGGACCATAATTATGTCAGCATCACTTGGTCATTGAGTGTAGTTTGGGCTCCTCAAGTGTGCGCTACAAATAATATGAATTTCACGCATTAACAGAACACAGCATTTAGACTAAAGATCTTGATAAGAAGAAGCCTTATTAGTACTGATTATAAACTAGAATTGTTAATGATATTGTTAATGTCCACACATTACTTTTTATGTCTCTGTCATTTTCGATCTCAACTGTAGCCTGCTCTTTTAGCAGGTGTGCCGTCAATGCTGGTGTTTGGCAGAGATGAGGACTGTTTGAAAGTCTTTTTTTTCCCACTAAAACTTTGATGCGCATCGTCTCAGTCTAATACGTCAACATAACAAAAGATGTGATCGCAAAACAAGCAGGAAAAAAGGCATTACATGCAAATTTTTAAGTCATAACATGTCAATTTATATAGTCGCCAGTGGCGATCTCAGCAAAAATATCACTCGCAAATTAATATTTTTGGTCGCAAATGCGACTGTTTTAGTCGCAGTCTGGAGCCCTGAAACTGATAAGAAACAATTCCACCATTTCAACAATATATGTTCAAACTTCATCACTTACCCTTATCTACCTCACTTTCTTTCCTCTTCTCTTCACTCTTTCTGCATTCTTGGGAACCAAACTGCTGAAAACACCACATATTGAGCTTCTAGCTTAAACACAAAACTTGCAGCACGACAGAATAAATATATATTTAATTCAGTTGGAAAGCACAATGTTAGAGACCTTTTAGGCAAATATGAAAAGTAGGGCTGCCCCCATAATAGTCGACTAACCTTTAGTCGACGAGAAGAGGCTTGGTCGACCAAAATTTTATTAGTTGCTTAGTCGCAGAAAAACAAAATCCACAGGAAGTGGTGAGGTCACATAGTCCGTGACGGACAGATCGTTAATGGCAGGATTTTGTGGTAACGTTACATCCAAACGCTGGCCTATCATTCATCGACCTCAAATATGGCTTATCATCTGAAATATCTAAGTAGTAGCAACTTTACATGGCCACTCAATCTAATGTTAACCTAGAAAAATGTGCGCTATTGAAGTGTCTGTGCGGAGTGTGAAAGCTGAACAGTAGCGCACTCACAGCATGACAGATGGAGGCGCCAGTGCAGTCACTTGCTCCTAAAATACTCCGTCATTTTGGTCATACAGATAAGAGTAATACATCTTTCGAATCTGTAAAGACTCTATGTTTATTTGTGTGCACTCAC